ATTCAGAGGAACAAAAGGGCAGGAAACTTTTCTTTCCCTTCTCAATCCAATTAGCATGGACAAGAATTCATAGCACAAAGTTACCAAGATTGGTTCATCTAGGAAAATTGGAAAACTACCATATTAATCTTGATATGTGTTTTACTTTACAGTCCATTTTTTTCCCTCTGATTCTAATAATGGTACAGAAATAATCACTTTTTTTTTTTTAAGAGGACAGGCAGAAAGTCACATGATTTTAACCAGAACAGCTCAATGACAAGTGTGACTCAGAAGCAGGACCTTTGTCATTTAGATGTAATTAATTTAGTCTAGAAAAGGCAAAACGTTCCCTTCCCTATTCATAATGTTCTGTTTGATAAAGCTCACAAACCTTTAAGTGAATGGGAATCTTAAATCTGGGCCATTTCTCAACTGAGTAATAATGCTTCCTCAACCTGGTGCCTAAGGCTAGATTCAGAGTCTAACAGGGAAGAGAGATTAAATAAAAAGATTGCATATGCATAACTGGGCCCCTCACTTCACATTTTGTAGGTTCATTTATTAGAGCAGTATCTTGCATCTGTGGTGGCTTAAATGTCTTTCCTTCTTAATTGTGACGGCTGCATTCTCTTGATACATCAATTAGTCCTTGAGACAGAATTTGCTCAGACCCTTAACCAGCCGAGCTATTATCAATGTCAAATCAGTTCAAAATAGAGTGAGCTATGTAGCAACAGTTTAAATTACCTGACCATGCAGACACTAATCACTAAGGCACTAGGATATCTTAACTCTTCAGGACCACTAGAACAGTATCATACAACACTACAGCTTAGTGGCAATCCCGCTCACCAGCCAAGAGCTCAAATACACACTGGAAGACTGTAGGTAAAACATAGAGAAATACACAGTTTTTCTTACTCTGGCACCAAACTAAAACTCGTAAAATCATCAATGGTGGGCGCCTGGGTGGCTCAGTTGGTTAAGTGACTGCCTTCGGCTCAGGTCATGATCCTGGAGTCCCTGGATCGAGTCCCTGGATCGAGTCCCGCATCGGGCTCCCTGCTCTGCGGGGAGTCTGCTTCTGCCTCTGACCCTCCCCCCTCTCATGTGATCTCTCTCTCGTTCTCTCTGTCTCAAATAAATAAATAAATAAATAAATAAAATCATCAATGGTTAGGGAAATAAGCAAAATTGAACAATAACTTGTGCCCATAAACACACATTTGCCATCCTACTAATGTTCTGACTGAAATGAAGAGGAAATATGTAAATTGGGTTTGTTTTTTTGTTTGTTTAATCTAGACCTTTTTTGTTTTCCCCCTATGCACATAAATGTTTCCTCCTTCTAAATCCCTCACACATAAGAAGGTCACTCTACATATGAGCCAATAATGTAGGGATTATCACCCCATGTTCTGGCGCTATTATCTAGAGTGCTAATGCTATGAATTGGAAATGGGAGCAGTACATTCATTCACCCTGTTAAAGTTAATAACCCAATGATTTACAAGACATGACACATCTGAAGTCAACTGAATTCATTGTCTCATTAAACAATGCAGGCAGGGTTGAAAATATTATCCTCCAGTGCTTTGAACTTGCATCTGCCCCATTACATTTGCATTAATGGGGCCTCAAAAAAGTCATATGCAGGTAGCTAATTGGTGTTCTTAAAAGAAGATTCCAACCCTTAGTTTTGATAATATTAGGGAGATAGGAGGAGAAATCAGTTGGGCACACTTCATAAATTGCAGAAAATTTACATGTGATCATTTTTATCTTCTTTGCAACTTCAGCTAAATTAACATACATGACTTCGTCCCAATAAACGCAACATGTTCATCCACCCTTAATTTACCACCCCAGTCTCCAGTCTATTCTCTCCATACACCAAGATTCCTGCCCAAACAGGTCCCCACTAAGTGGCTTAGAAATAAAGTCTGTTACTGGAGACCACATGGCAGAGCATCCTCCCCTCACACCCTAGAAATGTGCAAAATCATGGATGACAAAGAAACTCAGTTGAAGATTTACTTATATTGAATTTGTTCTGTGAGCTCTCATTTTATTCATGATTTTTCTTAAGTATGTATTAGGTCATGTTACGATTCTGTTTAAAATTCTTCAGTGGCTCCTCAGTGCAACCCAAACTATTAGGCCAACTTCTGATTTCCTCTCCTTCCATGCTTATCCTTTTCATAATCTTCAGTCACGTAGACGTTTTGTCTGTACCTTAAACATGTCAGGCTTTTTCTGTCTTGGGTCTTGGTACTTATTTTTTTTACCAGCTTCACATACTCTTCCTCAAGATTTTTGCATTCTATCACCTCGTTACAATTCAACTGATAATTCACAGAGCCTTCCTAATAAAACTAGCCACAAAACAACTCTCTCATCCCTATGTTATCCTATTTTAACTTTGTCATTGCATACCAATATTAAAGTGTCCTTTTGTTGTTATTGTTCTTAAGTGATATTTCTTAAGTGTTATTTTTTACTTTGTTATGTATTTAGGAGCACAGCACCTTAGAACAAGGACTATGTCCCCCTCATGCTGATGACTGCAACAATGTGTGACACACGGGAGGAGTCCAACACAGTAGTCATTAGTACATGTGGGCTATAGAGCACTTGAAATGTGACTGCTGTAACCGAAGAACTAGATTTTTAAATTTATTTAATATAATTAATTTAAATTTCAATAGCCACATGTGGCTAATAGCTACCATCATCAACAGCACAGTTCTGAAAAATCGATTCTAATGCTCCAAAACAAAATAACTGCTACCTTAGATGGTATTGGAAATGCACTAACAGATTTCCTCCTCGGATATCTTTCATCTGCCATGACTACATTACCAGCCACTGCCCTTTTTGTAGGACATCGCTAGCTCAGCAGTGTTATGATCTAAGGAGAATACACTCTAATCATTTTGATTAATGTTGATGGACACTTTTAGTGATGGACTTACAGCAATACTGTGACCTCACTAACTACAAGTCACAAGAGTTAAATAAATTTTAACACTTTACAAACTCAAAGTAAGTAAATGCCACTTGTACTAGAGACGAAGAAAGGAAAAAAGGAGATAGTGATAAATGAGAATTGATACTCAGCAACCCTTAAGATTTTACACCCTGATATCAGGTCTTGGTTGCAGAGGGCTAGGATTTTAAATCCAATAGTTGGTAAAGGGAAGGTCATAAATCCCAGAGTCTGGAAAACATCTATCGTCTGTGGAAAAGGGATAGAAAAAAAATTTATGGTTCAAGAGAGTTTCTCATTGGCCTGGAGTCTTTAGTCCAAGTTCAATAAAACAAAAGTAAAAAATACCCACCAGAAATCAAATTCCAGGCTCTCCACACAAATTGGTAGAAAGTTAAAATTTATACTGCTATGGGCAATGGCACCTCAAACTCACAAATTAACATACAAAATCAGATTTGGGATCATTTATAACCCAGGTTACTGAAGAAAGATCTTTAACAAAGACTTAGAAAGCACATTCCATTGTCTAGGTCCTTTACAGAAAACAGAATCTTCTTGAGCTAGGTTAATGAAAAAGGGAATTATTTCAGGTTATTAGAGTAACTCAAAAAATTTCTGCAAGGGCCAGGAAACCAAGCTTGGCTGCTACATAGCCAAGGAAGAGTATAGAAGAAATATACAGAACATACAGAAATATACCACAGCCCAGGAATGTTTCAGTGGAGCCCACTGCAACCAATGTCCACTCCTCAATTCCTGTGTTGCCGGAGACCATACACTGGAGCTTACAACATAAGAGCCACAACCAAGATCTCCCTGGATGTCACCTCAGAGTGTCCACTTTTGCCTTTCTGTTTTTACCTGGGTGCTTCTCCAGAACGTAGCTTATGAGGGGAGGCCCAGGATTAAGAATTCTGAAAAATGTAGATTTCAGCTTTACAGACTTCATAGTACAGAAAGGAAGTCTAAAATGAGAGGAGTGGAAATCGAATGAACCAACCTGAAAAATACACCACTTATATCTGATCTCCCTAAATTTGACCCACATTATGGATATATAGCATAAGATTATACAATAGAGGTTGTGATAATTTGTGAATAATGTCCTAAAAACTCTCCACTAAACTATGAATTCCATCAGATCATTTTGTGTGTTGATTCTTGATTCTTAGCACCTGGCATAAAATATGCACAATATTTGTTAAATAAATACATTTTAAATAATAGATTATGAAACTCTAGAACTCAAGAGACTATAACTCCTTATTTTAACGCAAACAGGAGAAATAAAAGGGATGTAGGATAGTATAAATATGATGGTAGATAAAGGCATGATTTTGGCTTTTCGGGAAAGTCTATCATATTTATCTGCTGAGAGTTTATATTTCATGACAAACTGCTATTCTAAAATGTTTGGGTATAGACACTCAATAGGCATAAATATTAGAGCATCTGAAAGCAGAGACTAATGAGTATTTTTTAAGCATAACTAATATCCTCTGGAGTAAATAATAAAGACTTAAAAAATACAATATAGTAAGATAGAGAACCAGCCACTTAAACCTTAAATGCTGACTTAGGATTGATGAAAATCATTGATTATGTTTAGACCAAGGGATCTGTTTACTCCTTCTCAACTTTGACCATCTTTAATTACTAGAATACATATAATAAGTGTTCTTAGTGTTCCTATAACCTGAGTTTTCTCTATTATAAAGTAGGATTAGACTGTCAAGATCACTAATCTTTTCTACATAGATAACAGAGAATATTCTTTAATTATTCTACATTATTAGGGAAAAGTCATCTGGTATTTTTTTTAAATGTATAAGATAGACTTCTATTTCCAGTTCTGCATAAAAAGATTCTGTAAAGGGCCACCCTATCCTAACAAGTGAAAAACTGAATATACTGAAAAAAAATCAACAACTTTCCTAGGATCCATAAGAGAGGTAATAATACGGGGCAAACCACTGCCCTCAATATTGGAAAGATCCACAAGCAAATATGGAAAATAACAACTTACCAGAGCAGAGATTCACAAGCAAAAACCATGGAAAGAACCCGAGATTTACATCCAGGAGCTCAACCAGGTTCCCACAGGATATAGGAGAAAAATCTCCTCCGGCTTCTGGCAGAAGAAGGGGAAAAGAACCATTTTGAAATATGCCAGCATGCTCTATTCTTAAGAAGGCCTGACCTCAGGGAAAACTAATTAACCAGAGCCAAAGCTGCTGGGGTTTTACCAGAGCCTAACTCACCTGGGGGCAAGGAAACACCCAACTCCAGCCCATTCTAGCCATCCCCTTCCACTTAGGAAGGGATAATAAAAATTAAAAACACTTGTGAAGTTCACAATCCAGCGAGGCATAGGCTCTCTAAAAGACTGAGACCTTATCATAGGACTATAGGACTCTTGCCCTCCCCACACCCCACCTCACAACCACATTACTACTAATGGTTTATTCATAGCAGTGCCCTTTACCTGGTACACCATGTCTGGCGATGAAGAAAACATTACAAGGCATACCAAAAGGCAAAAAAACACAATTTAAAGAAACGGAGCAAGCATCAGAACCAGACATGGTAGGGATGTTGGAATTAGCAGACTGTGAATTTAAAACAATTATGATTAATACACTAGGGGCCCAATGGATAAAATAGACAGCACATAACGTGGATGGAACTGGAGGGTATTATGTTGAGTGAAATAAGTCAAAAAGAGAAAGACATGTATCATATGATCTCACTGATATGAGGAATTCTTAATCGCAGGAATCAAACTGAGTGTTGTTGGAGTGGGGGGTGCGGTGGGAGGGATGGGGTGACTGGGTGATAGACACTGGGGAGGGTATGTGCTCTGGTAAGCGCTGTGAATTGTGCAAGGCTGTTGAATCTCAGATCTGTACCTCTGAAACAAATAATGCAATATATGTTAAGAAAAAAAAAAAAGAAGAAGAAGAAGAAGGTAGTGGGAGGGGAAGAATGAAGCGGGGGAAATCGGAGGGGTAGACGAACCATGAGAGACGATGGACTCTGAAAAACAAACAGGGTTCTAGAGGGGAGGGGGGTGGGAGGATGGGTTAGCCTGGTGGTGGGTATTGAGGAGGGCACATTCTGCATGGAGCACTGGGTGTTGTGCACAAACAATGAATCATGGAACACTTCATCTAAAACTAATGATGTAATGTATGGGGATTAACATAAGAATAAAAATAAATAAATAAATAAAATATATTAACATGGAAAATAATATTTAATTGGAAAAAAAAAAAAGAACAAATGGGCAATGCAACCAGAGAGATGGAAATCCTAAGAACCAAAATGAAATGCTAGAGATCAAAACACTGTAACAAAAACGAAGCATGGCTTTGATAGGCTTCTTAGTAGATTGGACATGACAGAGAAAAGAATCTCTGAACTTGAAGATACCTCAGCAGAAACCTCCAAAATGGAAAAGCAAAGAGAAAAAAGACTGAGAAAAACAGAACAGAATATCTAAGATCTGTGGGACAATTTAAAAAGGCATAACATACATTTATTGGGAACACCAGAAGAAAAAAAAAGAGAGAGAGAAAGGAATAGAAGAAATACATGAAACAATAACTGGACATTTCCCCAAGTTAACGTCAGACACCAAACTACTGATGCAGGAAGCTCAGAGAAGTATGAGCAGAGTAAATGCCAAAAAAACAAAAAACAAAAAACCCTACTCCTAGGGTTTTCAAACTGCAGAAAATCAAAGACAAAGAAAAAATCTTGAATTCGGGGCGGGGGGGGGGGAATACCTTACCTTACCTACCTTACCTACAATACATAATTGTATCCCAATTCTCTTCAGAAACCATGTAAGAATGAAGAGAATGGAGTCAACATTTAAAGCACTGAGAGGAAAAAACCACCTTCTTAGAATTCTGTGCTCTGCAAAATTTCTCAGACAAACCAAAGATGAGGGAATATGTTAGCAGCAGACCTGCCTTGCAAAAAATTAAAAGAAGTTCTTTAAAGAGAAGGAAAATCATATAGGTCAGAAACTTGATCTACCTAAGTAAGGAAAGCAGGAGGATCAAAAGAAGGGTTAAGTGAAGGTAAAACAAAAACTTTCATTTTTCTTATTCTTAATTGATCTAACATAACAGTTTGTTCAAAATAATAATAGTAACCATGAATTTGATTATGTATGCTTACAATTACATCATATAAATGTACATATATACATACACATATATATATGCTTATGGATGCACATATATATAAGTGAAATGAATGACAACAATAACACAAGGGCCAGGAGGGAGGAATTAGAAATATTTTCTTATTAAAAGGTACTCATTCAACCAGTGAAGTGGCATTGTGTTATTTAAAAGTAGATTTGTATTAGTTATAAATGTATATTGCCAACTATAGGGTAACCACTAAAAAATATTTTTTAAAAACTATAATGGATTGGGGTGCCTGGCTGGCTCAGTCGAGGGGGTGAGCAACTCTTGATCTGGGAGTTGTGAGTTTCAGCCCCACATTGGGTGTAGACATTACTTAAGGAGCCCTGCTCGGCGGGAAGCCTCTTCTCCCTCTCTGTCTGCCCCTCCCCCTGCTCCTGTTATAGCTCTCTCTCTCCCAAATAAATAAATAAAATCTTTAAAAAGGCAAAAAGGCAAAACAAAACAAAAGGCAAAAACAAGTTGAAGACAAAAATAGAAACAAAGAAGGGGAAGCTATGCATGTGTGGGGACAGTTGTATATGGGAAATCTTTGTACCTTCCTCATAATTTTGCCATGAACTTAAAACTGTTCTAAAAAATGAATTTCTTTACAAATTAAAGTATAAGACAACAGATAGGATTCTTTATTTCTAAATATTTACATGGAAATTCTAAAATAATTTCCACTCAATGTTTATTGGTAATAAAAGCATTTAAGCAAATATATGCAATTATTATTATTATAAAAGTGAGACATTCTTTGGAAGTTTTTCCTACACAGTTACTCTGTTTGAATCAGCCTTTGATCAAAGAGTAAACACATTTTGATGTTAATATGTTCTTCATATCCCACATCCAGTAGGTGGCACTCTTTCTTTTGTACTAAGATCCAAATAGAATAAAAGTAAGGATGGAGAGACCAATGAGCCCAGCAAACCTCATCACTTTAAAATGCACTTTACATTTTCAGCTAAGAAGTTAGATGAGTATCTGAGTCTGTGAACCCAGCAGATAGTCCAAACTTAAAGCTGAAGCAACCTTGTTGTTGACAATAATATAGGTCACCAGGACATCTGGGAAAATGGAATAACTGGGTTGTCTCATCTGACAGGAAATTATTGCAGAGCTCTGTGGAGTTTCAATGCCTCAGGCGATAGAACAAATTTTTAGCTGATTTAAGAGTAAGTTCAAGAGTCAAGATGATGCCAAAATAAAATTTTTTCATCAAACCTCTGCTGAAGCTGTAAAAACAACAACAGTGATTTAAGTTTTTCATCTCTTTTCATTTTCCATTTTAAATGGCATGGAGATTTGATAATAAGCAGCAAAACAATAAAAATATGAATAAAGAGATAAAAAACAGCAAAGACTAAGCGCCACATTCCGCCTTTCGAAGAGTTTAAAGCACTTAATGGATATCATCTCATACTGAGAGATGATATATTTAATTTTTCAAAGCCTTAGGAATTAACTTGAATAATATTTGAAATATACACAGTTTGTTCTATTCTTTTGGTCTGAAAGGAGGCAACACTGTACTCATCATCTTTTTCTTTCTTAGTATTTTCTTCATCTAGCTTCATTTCAAACTTGGTTGGGTTGTAGTTTATCCTTTGGAAGGAGAGGTGCATATTTATTTCCACCTTAGTAACACCCCAGATTTTATATTTGTTTCATTGTGTCTATCTCATTCCTAAAACATTATTCCTGGAATAAGATAAGGTAAAAATCAATAAATCAACCATTGTGGATAGATGACCTACCAGACTTTAATTCCCAGCACACTGATCACACAAATCCTTCTCTTCGTGTACTTAGTTTTTATTATCGTTCACTAGACCATGACTGAGTGCCCCCAGGCAAGAGACATGTTTTATTCATCTTTATTCTACCTGCAAGGCCCAGCACAAGACTTAACACATGGTAGGTATTCATGTAATATTTATTTAATGATTGAGCAAATTAATTAATTAAATTGAATTTCACTTTCCTTTAGGTTTATGCCTCATAGACCTTCCAAAATTTACTCCCATCATATATAGGAGTTTATTTCCATACTTCAGTAACTAATATCCCTAGTATATCTACTTTTATTAACTCCAAAATTGTCCTGGTAACAATAAACCCCTATACCCCTCACTTTTTTCATAGTCCATTCTTCCAACTATTAAAAAAAATCCAACAGGTATATATATGCTTCATTTTAATTTTACCACACCTGATGTTACCCTTTGTTCACATACTGGCCCCAAGTGGTTGCTGGGAGAAGAAAGGAGTAAACAGATAAGAATAAACAAGGATTTATTCTATTCTATACACTAATAGCCATATATGGTGGGGGCATGTTGCCTTTTCAGAGAGACATTTCACGATTCAACTCAAGTCCTCAAGTTATGCAATAAGAAGTTCAGATAAAAAGTCCTATAAATTCAAAAATAAATGTTTAAGCTGCTTTGTAAATGTCCAAAGAAAACTGATGTTATTATTGTGAGTTCAAGAACTACCTACCCTTCTGATTATGCTATTGTATTTCTCACTAAATTTTCACTGGTAAACAGGATTAATCTGTCTGCTTTAACCCTAAAAACTGCCTTTCTGCAAGTTTAGTATTGAGAATTATTACCATTAGAATCTTCCATCTTTGCCATCTCTATTCAATGCTCACATGGTTAATTCTATGCATGATCACAGGTTCTACCAATGAAAAACTACAGATATCTCTCTAGTTTCAAGTATATAGGAAGAAATCCATCACTATGGGTAAGTTTTCAGTTCAGGTTTTCTTTAATTCATAAAAGAATAATATTATTTAATTTAATATTCTATTTTTCATTTTTGGCACTTTGGATAATTAGTGCCTAATTCTAGTCTTGATTCTTCCATTGGTGTCCTGTGTTAGTTTGAAAAATGAACTTTCTCAGTATTTTTT